GTTTTACCGGTCCGGTTACCGGCTCCCATTACCGCAGAACGGATAAATACCGCGGTTTACCGCAAAAATTGATCCGGTATTCGCAACATGGGAGTGCATCAAGTTACTTCGAAAATAAATAAAAATTCAACTAGCACTCCCATTCGACAACAGGAAAATAGGAAAACTAGGAAAAGGTTTTTTTTTCGAATTCGAATTATAATTGTCATATGCACTTTCCTGTCAGAATAGAAAAATAGGAAAACTTTTTTTTCTTGAGGGTGAGGGTGTGGGTGTGTGTCTTGCTTATATACCCCCACACACCCACACTCATCACAATACTCAGTGCAACGGTATTATGACATCTATGACACACCCACACCCACCCACATAGAAATGATTTTTTTCCAGAAAAAAACTGTTAAAAACGATAATCATGAGTAGACTGATAAACTCTCACTCGATCTATACATGCAGATATTTGTTGCCATTCATGTAACGATTATTTACTAAAAATGAATCAGGCAGGTACTTCAGGAAAAATTATGATTGAAAAGTAGCAAATTTAATATTCATTGAATCGAAATGAAAAGTCTTTATTTAGAACATTCAAAAAACAACGCGTTACAGTTAAGAGAACAAAATAAACTGTTGAAAGAACGAAAAAATCCTGTTTTCAATACTGATTCTCTCTAGATTTATTCAGTTTCATAGAATGCCTTCTAGTAATGGTGTTTGCGTAGAAACGACACATTTCTATCTAGTCAACAAAGTAAAAATAGGATGCCCAACCGAGAGCAGCTGTGGATGTTGCGGCTGTCGCTACACATATACCAGCGCCAATAAAGTAGCCCACAATGCTTAATTGAAGTACACCTCCAATGAAGAGTGCACCAACACGAATAGCTAAATTGGCCGTTTGTTGAATACGATGCACCGCTTTGAATGCATTCGCGGTTCGATTTGGGTCGATTGAAAAACAAGCCAACATTCGATACATCCATTCTTGCAGAATAGTTACAATGACGATGTCAGCAAGAGGTAGAAACGATGCTGCTGCAGAAGCTGTAGAAAAAGCAGCGATAATTTTATTGGCTATTGATACTCGGCATCGGCTAATGGAATCAAGATTTTTGTCAACGATTTGAGCATTCAGTGGTGATTGAGCATTGATACTCAGCCGAAGTTGGTCAACACCATAATTGTATCTTGTTGATACGGGAATACATTGCACAGCTGGATCAATCAAGTACTTATTTACCAACGTTAAAGCTCTTTCAGTATATTCTTCCAGTTGTTTGACATCGTCTTCACAATTAGGCACTTTGCCTTGGAAATACTCATCGATTTTACTGAGTACGCATATGACAGGTATGCTAGTTCCATGTCGCATTTGTTTTAGGTATTTTAGAACACTATTGACATTCTTCATAATACTATCCAGAGAAACTACGGTTCTTAAATTGTTCTTTGTTACAACTATAATAACTGCATCAGGACGTTCAATATTTTGCATCTGCTTTTGAGTTTGTGTCACCAAAATAGAATCGTTTAATTGTGCACCAAAGCCTATCGAATCAACAAAAGTAGCGTTCACATCTTCTACAGGTACAACTTTAAAAGTGTCTGTACAAGGTCTATCATTTTCGCCAACTGCACACACTTCCTTTCCAGCGATGCTATTAATTAGACTTGATTTACCTACATCGGTTCCACCTACACAGTAACAAGTATGTGGTCTGGTCGGATTTAGCGTCTCTGTTAGAGAGCTTAGAGCATTGAACAATGGATTAAAGAATGTTTTTGGGAACAAAGGATTGGGTTTCACTTCCATTTTCATACTATCAATTACTTGTTGTATATTGTTAAGTAATATTTCTATCTCTTTAGTTTTGGAGGCGTCATTTGAATCATTTGATGCCGCTTTGGCACGTTCGAAATTAGGTTGAGATTTTGAAACTTTCGACGAATTGTTACCCATTATTTGCAGACCAATGATTTTTTTCTTTAAAATAAAATGATCATATGTATTTAACGATGTTAATAATATAATGGCTTTTACTAGATGATAGTAGATCATTTTTGGGAAATTTCTGAACGAGCGGTGTTTAGTAAAGGCATATTAATTTTCAAGGAGTATGAAAGAATAATTGTATTTTCAATCAACATGAAAAGATCATCGGCTTCACACATGTCAATCATATTCTAGACTTGGGATTAAAAATAGTACGATAAACCTATGCAGCAGTTCACTATCAATTTACTAATGAATTCACACACTCATTTCATTTTACGATAACTTTTGCTCCCTAACAACGGTTGCTTTTGAAAACAATTATTGTTGAAGATGTGATTTACATTCAACCCTATCGTTCTTAGATGAAAAAATCCATAAGGTGAAAAAGAAGATATTAAATGTAAAAACAAAAATCCGGTGTGCAGGTTGCCTGCCTTTGCTGTTTCATTATTAAATTGAAGAAATATATGTATGCCTAAGTGACTCGGCTTTCAACAATCAAATGATATCTTACCTTGTATTTATTGGCGTGGACAAAATGAATAGTTCTTAAATGTTTATGAAATAGATATTTCCTCTATTTATATAGTTGAATATAAGAGAGATCTATCTGATTATCTTTTTGAGAAGAACCGTTATCATTTGGTTATGATGTCACTTGGGCAAGCTTTCTTTTCCAGGTTGTAGTTATGTTGGCAAATCTGATAGAAAAAAGGATGCGAGTGTGCTCGTTTCACCTATCCATCATCTAGCCGTATAACTCTATGATACTATTAAAACAAGTCTTATTCTTATATCTCATGCTGTTGTTGTTGTCTAAGAAACGAAT